TGGGGTTGTTTGTGGGTGATGTGTGGTGCTTTGCAAATAGGGAGAGCTTTGCAGAAGGACTGATGCAGGAAAACCCCGGGACTGGAGAAATCCAAAGGTAAAAATGGAAGCAGGAGCCAGAGATGGACATTGTCCCAGAGGATGGCTCAAGTCAAGGAAGGATTCAGCTTTTCCAACTAGGAGAAATGATCTTGCTCACATCAGTCTTTACTTTCTTCTTCCTCATCTTCTTTTTGTTTTTAAATTTGTTTAAACCCTGATATCTTAAAGAGAAAAGGAGTACCATTGACCAAAGCCTTTCCTCCATGGATGCAGGATAATCTAGCTCTCTTTGATTTCCATTATGCTTTCCAGTGGATCTGAGATGTAATTAATTAATTGATTTTTGCTGCCAGTCCCCTAATTAACACTAAATAAAAATTCATGCCAGGGTTAATAGCTTTAAAGGTTGGAGGCAAGAGCGTCTGCTGTGCAGGTCCGTTGTCCGTTCTGCATTGCATTTGGGTTATATTCCCTGTCATGCTTAAAATTCCTAATCAATTGAAAGTTAATTTCATTCTTAACCAAAAGGAAGCCAGAAACTGGGTACTGTTATGCGACTGTTTTTGTTTTATGGCATTTACAGGGCGGTGTTTGTAGCCCAGTTATAACACCACTGGATGAACTGGTGTAGCATGAGAGGGGCCTGCCTGGGGTAACACAATCTCCAAAACTGGTCAGATTTATATTGTGGATAGGCCCTAAACCTTGTGCTCCCTATACTTACTGTAAATACTGATCTCTTTGCTCTTTATTGTGTGGGACAATTACCATGTGGATCCATTACTTAGTATTTGTGCAGTGCTTTGAGGATATGAAGTGCCAAGTAATATTACGTGTAGTCTAGTGGAAGTTTACTAACAAAAGGTCAGGTCGTTTTTATCCATTATCTCTTACTAGACAATAAAATTGCAACAGACTAGACAGAATTATTGAAAATATTGCTTTATGTGTTGGTAAAATGAATTATCTGAACAATCTCACTCCCTCATGGGAACACGCATGTTGAAATGCCTCTGAGACCTACTGTGAGGCTTGCTGAAGATGGCCAGCCCCCACACTGCTAATTAGGGCTCCTGGCTTTTGATATGCTGTTAAACCCTTGAAAAAGTCCCTGTGAAATTGATCTGAAAAACGTTATCTAGTTGCTTTGAAAAAGTAAGAGAAATCAGAAAGAGAGGCTCTTTCTTTCTTTGTGATTGCTGCTTTCACTTCTATGTCTCCATGGCTCAGCTCAACATCTTCCCTTCCCTGGCTGTATGTGGGAGAACCAGTGAGGCTCTTTCTAAAGTGTCTCAGGAGCATATTCAGAACTCACATCATAAACAGCAAAATATGGTCCTGTTTGGCAGAAACAAGATTTGATAAAGTCCTCTGCAGAGTGGCTATGTGATGTTGTCTCCACCATTTTCAGTCAGTGATGAATTTAGTTTATGGTGTGGAATTGAAGCTGTTCAGACATGACTGAGTACATCCAAAGCAAATATCCCATAATTCTAATTGCAGTCTACTGTGTTTGAGCAAACATGGGAATATTCATGTTCAAAGGAGTTTTGCTTTTTCCTTGATGTTGCTAGCAGTACTACCCTCCTGCACTGTGGAGGTGTTAATCTTCATAGGTTTGCTTCCACTTTCCACTGCCCTGTGCTCTCACATGCACTTAAGCAACGACTGTGTTAGCAGCTGTGCTGCTGATGTGATGCATCCTCAAGGCCCTCAAGTTACTAGCCTCAAAGCAGGCTCAAATCACAGTGCCAAGCAATGGGGAAGTCCAGCTAAAATCCCTGTTAATGCCTCCTCTTGTTGTCTTGCATTTGCAGCACTGAGCAGACTGGAGAGGGAGAGGGAAGAAAAAAAATAATTTCAGATAAATGAAGAGGTTTTATTTTGTTTTGTTTTGTTTTTCCAGTCCATCCCTAAAAGGCTTTTTTTTTTTTTTTTTTCCCCCCCCAAACTGCAAGGTATACTGCATGCTCTGTCTCAATTGGGAACACTATAGCTAGCCCCTAAATATTCAGCTTTGTTTTTGTCTTTCTGTGTTATCAACTTCATTCTTTGGTCGAATTGCAGTATCCGTTCCGTGCTCTTACTTTAATAATCTGCTGCTCTTCTGCTTCCCTGGGCAAATATTGTACTCGGGATGCTGCCAGCCTTTAGCCTTGACCATACTAATACATAATGCAGATGATAAAAGCCAGTGTAACAGAAAAGAGGTCCCAGGGAGAATACAAACCATGACAAAATAAGGAGGAAGCAGATGGTTGGGTATTAAACTGCAGTAATAAAATAACATCTGGCAGAATATCACACACATGCACTGATGCCCATCTGAAGAGTGCACTGATTTAAGTAATATGCTTCTCATTTTGGTGCAATTAACACCAAAATTTACATAGCAAACAGTGGCAGAGCACACAGAGGCTTCTTTTGAAAAATACAATCAAAAAATGTCTTTTCTACAAGGAGATTGGCCATAGCAGACACTGATGGCTTTTTATACTGTGGTGTAAAGCAATTAATGAGTCATACCTTCCTGCTGGCCAGAGAACCCATTATTCTGTTTACATACAGTCTGGCAGATGTATTTGTTTGCAGGGCTGGAAATTAAAAGATAAAAGGGAATAGCATTTGACCAAGTGGAACATCGCTCCACCCTGTGCCATAGAGAGAAAGATGCTGTACAGATTAGGTAGATCTATAAAGCTCTATGCAGACAAACCTGTCCACCTCAGATCCTCTCCCACGTTTCCCCTTGTGTGAGCTTGGGAAGGAGAAACCTTGGGGCTGCCTTTTTCAAAGGAAGTTGGAGGGAAGATGCAATCCCCATCTGGGTTAACGAGCCACATGGCAGCACCAAAAACCCTGCAGGCAACTGGGTCATGTTTTTCACCAGCCCTGACCTGCATCAGACAGGCAGGTTTACAGTTTGCAGACAGAGTTGCTGTTTCCTGAGGCTGGAAGCTGCCTCTGGATTTTGCCTTTCTGAGCAGTGGGATGCGGTGTGGTAACCTCCCGGAGCAGCCCCAGCAGTAGCTTCCACTACTGCCGTGTGGAAGCAAATACCTGATAAAGTAGACAGTGGTCCAGTCATCAAAAGCCCGTAAGAATATTTGCAGGTGGCAATGTTAAGATTATCAGTGTGGTGTCCTGGGTGAAGCAAAAGATGCCCTGGGCTCTGCCACAGGCCCAGCTGTAGAGGACTGGACTGCACCGGAGCCTGGCATTTGTTTCAGCAAAAATGTCATTTCTATTTGGAAACTTCCGATCTAACTTAGAATAAATGCAATTTTGTTTTGTGACTCCCTGGGAAATAGAGTTTTGACATGAAAAGGAGCATCGAAAGGCCTTGCCTCCATACATCTGCCTGTCCCCGGGGCAGTGGTGAGAGGCAAACCTTTTACCTCAGCCCTGCTCTGGCAAGAGGGCCTTCTGCTAGAGGGGAAGGGCACAGAGAGCCCCGGTGTGGGGAAAAGCTCTACCAAGTGTCCAAAACGTGCCACTGCTGAGCAGGGCATGGTGTCAGGAAAGCTGCTCACACTGAAATTCATAGTGTGATCAGCCTTTGCGGGGCGGACCTGGTGCGCTGCAGCCAGGCCGGGCAGGCCTCCCGCCCTGCTTCACGGTGCTCGCAGGAGGGCCTGCTCTCCTGCTCTCACTTCTTTTGATAAACGTGACAAGAGTGTCATTGGTTTCCTTAGAAGGAATGAGTGGAAACATGTCCAAAGTTATTTTTTTTTCCTCCATCGCTGCACCTTTATTCCTTTTTTTATGTGTGTGTGTTTTATGCAGTGTGTGTGTTTTGTGCAGACTCTGCTGGGAGTCTGTGTAGCCCCATGCACAGAGACTCAGCTTTTGACGTGAGCCCCTGAATGCCATCACGTTTTAAGTGAGAACATAGTGATTTCCTTCCATCAAGTACAGTGTTTAGGTCATCTGCTTTCCTCTGGCAATCTTCACAAGTTGGAATAATAAGGGTGCTCTCCTGGCATATGTTTTTTCTTAGAGCAGTACCAGGTGTAGGACACTAACAGTAAGACCTGAGGGGCATCTGAAAGCTAGAAGGATATTTATGGGTGGAAAGGGTCATTTGTATTACCAGAAATGCATTCTGCCACAGCACCTCTAATGAATAACAGGCAGAATTCTGCAGTTTTAGAGACTGTGATGCAAATAAGCAGTGTGTTTTTTGTTTGTTTGTTTTTTTTTTTTCAGTAGTTAATTTTCTTGAAATCTGATTTCCAGATGTAGCAGCCTTAATTTGGTTTGTTCTTTGCAAGGGAATCCCATGGGAGTATGAGCTTCAGTCTCCAATAAATCAGGAGAGCAGCGGGCACCTTGGGCCAAGTCTGGGGCACAGTGGGAACTGCTCTGTCCCAAGTGGGCTTTGGATGGGCTGACCCAGGGACCTTGGAGTCAGTGAGCTCTTTTGGCTGCAAAGTCTCATGCTAAGTACATAACCTTTTCGTTTTGCTGGGTTTCTGCCAGGTTTAAACACTTCATTCCAGTCCAAAATGGGGCTCTGATTGTGGCTGAGGAGTGGGCAATGGGGTGAATATGGAAACATTTGCAGTAAATAAAAAAAAAAAAATGACTGTTCCAGCTAGTTGTACTTTGGTTTTGCATTTCCCTGGGCTAGTTTCTGAAGATGGTTTAATTTCCTATGTGCTGCTGGTGTTTTGCTTATATTTCTCCTCGTCAGCCTCCCTCAATGATATCCTAGTGCCTGCCTTCTCAACAGTAATAATAATAATAGCTGCAATATATTTAATAGCTACCCACTGCCAGCCTTGCTCAGCCTTCTCAACAGATTCCCTAAGGTAATGGATGTATAATGCATTTCCCAGCTGGAAATCAGACCTTGCTAGGATCCTATCTCTTGCAAAAACTCCTTGCTGGCAGCCTCCCCGGCTCTGTGTGAATGAGCAAGGCTGCAGAAGAGGTGCTTTCCTTTCTCCTTGCAGGTGTGAAGCAGAAGGCTCGGAGCACAAACAGCCACCCGGGGCAGCACCAAAATGACCCGTACTCTCTGTGCCAATTGGACATTGCATCCTGTCCCCAGCCATCCAAATCGACAAGGGCCACAAGGATGGAGCTGGGCAATACAGCAGAGATTTTGGTACAAGAAACAGGACAAAGCAGGAAATGGTGTTGAAAGCTGAATGAAGGAAATCTGCTCACTATTCCTGTGGTGAATGTAACCCATTGAAAGTAGGCTGGTTAGAAACACCTCTGCTCTTCCAGTTGCCAACTTGACCTTTCAGATGCCCCAATCTGACTGGCTTCCCACGTTATCCTAAAAAATTACTGGGGAGCCGCAAACAGCACAGCGCTGCGTGGGAGAAGGCAGTGGGAGATGTGGGGGAATAAATGTGTGCACCCGGAGAAGGGAAAAAGTGATGCAGTGGAAAGGCTGCCCTGACCTTGGGCCAGCAATAAGGGAGCGGCAGCCTCACTATCTGGTGTGAACAGTGAGCAGCTCTTTTGCAGGCGCCAGGGCTCGGCTGTGGTTTTGAATATTGTTCTGCAGTCCGGCTGGGCTGCTGGGAGTGAGCCATTAGTTTGTAGATGACCCCAGTTAGCTATTGTGCGAACAATCCCCAAACGGCACTGTTTAACCTTAAAAATCATGATCTCTTCAGGAAGAAGTAACTAATTCCATTATTCATTTATGTGGCTTCATATGCAAGCAAAGAAGGATTTGAAGCAATTTGCTCATACGGATTTCTGCGCCTTCTGGCATCCTTCAGGACAGGATTGTTTTGCAGGGCAGAGACTCATCAAATGACTTGCTGGAGGTTTAATAAAAAAAGGAAAAGAAAAGGCCATGGTAGAGTTGGGAAATGAACCCAGGAATGTTGACTTTGAACTACATGAAACCCATTGCACTACAGTAGCATGCTCAGTACGTTTGCTTGGTTTTCAGCCACAGCTTTAAAGTTTGTCCAACAAAGTTAAGAAGTCAGGAGGGGGGTAATTTTTGTTCTTCAGATGAAGAGACTGAGAAATCTAAAAGCCTGGTGCTCGCAATAACTTACACTGCTCTTTATTTGATGGAGTGACTCATATAGCACATAGCTTCAGGAGCAGGTTTGGGGAAAACTATAGCTGAAAACACAGCCAGCTGTAAAAAGCTAGCCATTTCCTACACAGTATCTACTTCAAAAGAATAAAATAGATGTCTCCTTTTTTCTATCCAAAAAGTCACTGCAGAAGCAGCTTTCTTTTGTTATCTCCCAATAAATGTGTCTCTGTAATAGTGGAATTTACTGCTGGGGGTGTGCGTTTCTCACCACTGCTTCCCCTTACAAAGACGCTAATCTGTCTTTTGCTGGAGAAGGCAAATGATGTCATGTTTCCTGTATTTCAGCCTACTTTCCAGCTGCTGCAGAAAGGCAGGGCTGTAGGTAAACATCTTACTCTGCAAGAGCAGAGCAGGAGCTGCTGAGCTGGGGCCGGGCCGGGCTGGGGCCGGGAGCAGACTGAGGGGCACAGTGAGCCCCCTGTGTGAGCCTGGCCAACCTCTTGTCACCTGCACAGTGACCAGTCCAAGCACATGGGGACAACACGGTCACAGGGTGCTCAGCCCCGTGGGTAGTGCAGGCAGAGGCCGGTCGGCAAGTCAGGACGGTCTGCTTGGCACGGGCAAGCACGGAAAGTTTGCAGAGCACTGCCTGAACTAGTCTAACCTCCAGCAAGAGCGTCCTTGACATTCATTAAGGCTAAATTCACTCTCACATTTTAATCAATGAAATGGAAAAACAAGAAAATAGGAATGCATAAGCAAGCCTGGCTTTTTGTTTTGATTTTTTTTTTTTTTTTTTTTTTTTTTTTTTTTTTTATCAGCAGTCTAACAAGCCCAGGAAAACACCCGCCTGCATGCCGGATTTGCCCAGGCAATTATCACAAATGCAGATTGAATAATTATGCATGCGAAGACCCGTCTGGTACCTGCCACATGCAATGACTCAATCTGTGTGCAGGTGCATGTGTCTGCGTACAACACCGCACACTTCCCTTCAGCAGCAGAGCCATGATGCCTCTGCCCCCCGAGTGGAAAACTGAGCTCTTTCCACCACATCGGCCCTCCAGGATGCTGGGGGGCTGTGGGCACCGCGTGGGGGCTGCTTCCCCTCACCAGTGTTCATGAACATCCCCCCTGCCTGCTGCAAACCCTGCTGACCTGCTAGAGCAAGGTCTAAAATCTTATGCCTCGCACTCCCCCCCGTTTCTCACTGAATTTACGCTGTCCCTTTCCCCAGGGGAGCTGCATGCAGCCCCACGGCTCTGCTGGCTGCAGCTTTGTTTTGCTGTAATTCTGGCCTTTGCTTGTGTACCAGCAGAGCATGACTTTCCTTATATATTATACTTTGAGAGCAATACAAGAAAATAAAAATGAGTAACAGCTTGTTTCCCAGCCCTGGATGGAGCAACAATTTTGATGAATGGACAGACTAGTTGCATGAAAAAGAGCATGAATAATTTGCAATGAATAATATTCAAGTGTTACCTTTTTTTCCACTCATAAATTGCTTGCAAACTTTTTTTTCCCCCGAGCTGTTAGTCACCAGAGCAAATAGCAAGCAGCGTGTTGGAAGCATTTGTTTTCTGCCACCCCGAGCTGTGGTTAGACTCTGGTCACTCTGATTGATGGGGAAGCTCGTACGAGCAAGTTTCTTTGGTTGACACCTTGAGGTTCCTGGGGCTTTGAGTATATTTCTTTCACAGGCAACAGCAGATGCTGAAACAGCTGTTAGTTTGCTACTGTTTGTAATTTATAAATTATTGCTTCCACAAGTCCCAACCAACACTGGGGCTTGACAGAGACCCAGGTTAAGAATGAAATACTTTGTTAAAAATTCCTATAGCTTTTTATGCTGCTAGAGTCACAGTTCACCATTTTTCCCCATTTCTCTGGAATTTTGCTGGGGCTGGCAGGGTGAGGGTGAGGCCACTCAGATCCATCACTATTTGTCTTGCTTGCATTAGCATAGCAGGTTGCCTCCTCTGACCTGCTTCATCTGAGCTGGGATCCCCTACTTCTCTGGTCTTCCATTTCTTCCCCACTGACCTATTCTAATCAGCTGAGATACTTCCCCTTTTTCTTTTGCTTGGACTCAAAGCAGTGTGAAAGAATGACCTCTCTTTCATGTGCATGATTGCATTTTAAACTTTAATAGCTTCCATACCATTTCTTAAGAGGCACTGTGCTCAGCTGAAGGTCTGTACATTGCACTCGGGTACAGGGAGCAGCCAGAACATGATGGAAAAGCACAGTCTCTGTGTCAGGTCTCCATCTGCATGATGGACACTTCACATTTAAGCTACACTTCTTTCTGCACTGAACATATGTGAGGTTGTGGTTCATCTCATAGAGCAGTTATTGACATCGTGCAGCTGTAAAGAAATCTGCTTTGCCTATGAAAAGACTGGAGAATAATGTAGCTAATGCTAATCAAGAGATATCTTAATAGATGCCAGCAGAAGAGGCTTTGGGGAGCGAATGTGACGCAGCCACAAAGCCTTTTTGCTCTGCCAGAGTCCCTGTGAAGGGCAGGGGAATGTTTAATTTCTGTGTGTGTGTCTTCAGGGCTGGCAGCAGAAACCAACGAGGCTGAGATTAGATCAGCCCTGCTTATTCTAGAGGGAATGCATTTTTTTTGGAATGCTGCGAGTTTATGAGTTGTTTCCTTCTGGTGCATCTTTGACTGGCTATGGCCTTTCTCACATTAAAGGGAGACGGCTTGGATACACAAGGAACGAGCTGGGAAAAGTGCCTTGTTAACACGGATCCCAGAACTGGGAGTTTAAAGCCCAAATTACTTCCTGGTTGTGAGATATGTGAATTATTAGCTCCTGGGTGGATAGCTCTGTTATGAACTTTGATGTTATGAACTTTGATGTGACAGTAGCTGTTCAAAGCAGTGGAAAAAGTATGTGTAAAGACCTGAGAGATCTGCAAAAATCATAAGAGCTTTTCACTTATGGAGTCTGTCTTTTTCTCTCTTGGTGGAGTTGTCTTAGAGGCAATTAACTACATCTAGGACAGGGATGAGCTGAGGTTTCTTCTTTGCATCTTTTGCTGGATTAGCCTAGATTGCAAGGCTTAGAAAGAAATTTGAAGTGCAAAGGGTGAAGGAGAGGTTGGGCCTTGAATAATTTTAGACCATTCCTGGCATCAGGGGAAAAGCAAGTGAACACCACACTTAAAATTAACTGCTTATTGCCTAAAGCAATCATCATGTTCATAAGTTAACCGATTATTTGACCAATTATTTGACCAATGATGCTATGGCGAGAATTCATCCATCATTGAAAAACTCTTCTCTGGACTGATCCTTCCAGTATTGAGCCTGTTTTTTCCACACCCTGGTGTTCCCCAGCACCTTGGGGATGAGCTGCAATGGTCTCGGGGGTGTGGGGAGATGCCCCTTCTGCGAGTGGGGTAGCAGTGCCCTGTGGACGAGGGCTAGGGAAGAGCAGCTCACTCATTTTCTGACCATCCTGGGAGGGGTGCAGAGGGCTCTGCTCTTGGCTTTGGCACAGAAGACAAGAGCTGAGGCTGGAATCCAAGTCGCGATGGATAAAATGCTGGAGAGGTGGGCTGGTCCCCACAAAACCCTCCAGACCACCTCTAAGCAGCAGCTGGCTTCAGCTTACAGCCCCGGCTGAGATGAATGGCATTCCAGGGCTCACCAGCATCCCACCACTGCTTCTCCCTTTACAGCTGCCGCCTGGTTGCACCAAGTGGTTTAGCCTCTTGCATTTGCTTTTTGATGCAGATCCAGCAGTGAGGGTGTGTGGGAGTGGGAAGAGAGGGTACTCGCTGGAACCGCACTTCCCAGTGCGAAAGCGGAGCCGAGGGTGAGCAGGGGCAAAGGATTCCTCCGTGACCACTGCTTCCTTTGCTGTGAGAGCTTGTTCTGCGGTGCGGCGGGCGCAGAGAGCCCCTTCCCACCCAGCAGGGAAAATGCCCTGGTGGCACGGCGCACACCCACAGCACAGCGCTGCAGGAAGAAAGGAGGTGGTTGTACGAGATGTAAAGATAGGATGCACAGCCCCGTAGGAGGGTTGTGTGAGCTGGATTTCAAGTGGGAACCAAGAAATATGCCTGTTTGGCTGGATTCTTTGCAACTTTTTTTTTTTTTTAACCACAAGCATTCAGCACTACTGATGGTTTTCCATAATTTCAAGACACCTTTGCCCTGGCTGCCAACAATGAACAATCTGGCTGGCTCTCTGGGATTTGTCCAAGGGGCAATCCCTTCTGTGCTCCCCCTTGCTCTCAGCCCTGTGGTTGGACAGTCTGGAAAAATTCTTTGCAAATCTCCACCTTTGGGATGGTGATGCTTAGCCCGGCTCTGATTCTTTCCTTCTTCTCTTTCTGAATGAGAACAGCTACAGAGAAGACAGCATCCATCCCCAGCGAACTGGCGCTCGTACCCACCCCCAGGACAGCCTCTTCCTGACAGCCTGTCACTGCCTTGTCACAGTCGTGATGAATTTGTTCTGCCATCTCTTTATTAGGTCCCTGTGTAGAACAAGGAGGCTGGAGAAATCATGAGCAATCCTTTAACCTCTCCTCTTCTGAGACAGGAGTAATTCTGTACCCAGGCCTTTCCTGATGGACATCTGTCCAACGTGCACGAAAGGGCACCCAGGGGGAGCAATCCTTAACATGCCCAGGACAAGCACATGGTAAGAAGCAGTCCATGGTGTATTTGTCATTTCTCCACATATTAACTTTTTAATTGGAAATTTATTCTCTTTTCCACCGCAGATTGGAAAGCAGAAGAGCTGAGTCATCCCCTGAGAAGAAACCTCCCACAGCAGATGTTGCACCATGTGATCCTGCTGTCTCTTGCAGTCACTGCTGGAAGAACGCCTGTGTCACCTGAAGACCTGTGTGGAGATAACACGGTCCTGTTCCTCCGGTCACATCGCTAAAGCAAAGATAAATTCCTTGTTCGGTGCCCGGTGCACTGCAAGTGCCAGGAAATCCTTCCTGTTTGGAAGCATCCCTGCCTGTATTGAGACCTTACCTTTGAAAGGTGATAATGTGAAAAGCATCCTGCTACATTTTGTAATGAGGATCTATTTATGTGTGCTATGTGGGGGACGTCCTGTGGTTTTCAACACTGTGACCTCTGGGTGACTTTTCTGAGCTTTCCTCTGGCACTGAGCAGAGAGAAGGCAGCTTTATGCCAATAATCTCGAATGAAAGTTTACAAGGGCTAAATTCAGTCCCTGTTTCTGTTCATGTATTGCCTGTGATTTTAAGCAAGTCACTTAATTTTCTTGTTCCTCATCTGTAACATAACCCTGCATTTTCCCTCCCTGAAGCCTGCCTGCTTTCTGTAGATCAGATGTTGGTCCAGACAGGGCTGTCTTGGAAGCAGGTGCCTCAGCAGACTGCTGTAAATCACTCAAGTAGAGTCCTGGAATCACAGAATTCAGTGTGAATTCACAGAAATCACAGAAATCACAGAAAGGGAGGGACACACAAGGATCATCAAGTCCGATGCCTAAAGTACCTTTAGTAGTTACTGATACTGCTGATACTTCAGTTTCCTCCAGTTCTCTGCTAACCAGACCATAAGTTTCGTGACATTTTCTGCAATATTTAAACCCCAAGTCCTTGACTTAGCTGATTATGAGAGAAACTTGGCTCCTGTTTTTTTTTGGGGGGGGGGGTTGTCTTGTCTTTTAAAGGTACATCACTAGCACCAGTGCAAAAATTATCCTGAAAGTGTGAATGTTCCTCGTCTGTTACCTGATTTATTTACCTGCTGGCACAGTGCACGTGTTGGCTATGAACAAGTGGCATCTGGGAAAAGTAGTATGCATATTTAAGTAATTTGGAGCCCACAAGTAACCACAAAATCAGAAATGTCTGATTTTGTGTTTCCCTCTGGCTGTTCCAAAACAGCTGCAAGAGTTAAAGTTCTGTATATGTGCTGTCCTATATTACAGGAGCTGCATTCATATCTTTCATTCTCAGCCTCCGCCTCCTCCTATTCAATTTACAGTCTAGACTGTTTAAAAATATCTTGTTACTGCCTTTTTTTTTTTTTTCCTATGGAGAAAGGGCACTTGTGAGACAATGCTCTCAACTGGAGATTACACAGATTTGTTGCATGTTGGTGCACGATAACAGGAGAGGTTCCAACAAGCTCCAATATATAATAAACTGTGAAAGCATAAATTGCATATGATTAAACCTTTGATGGTGGGCTGTTAGGAATTCCCAGTGCAACATGCCACGCCGCCTTTTACATCAGCCCTAACAATGACAGTGCCAGACTCATTGGCTCCAAGGGGTTAATTATACATTATGGATGAAACAATGCAAGGATGCTTGTTAATACTCAATTATTTGCATGGTAACCCTGGGTGACTCCCTTACTGCTGCTGCCAATTTGCAGTGCTCACCTGGGGCAAGATAGGCTTGTCATTCCTCACCCAATCCACTTTCTTTCTGCCCCTCCTTGCTGTTTTTTTTTCCTATTTGCAACACCATTTTACTTGTCAAGGTGTCTGACAGGTGAAAATCAGCCTACCTGATTATTGAAATTTCAAAAGAAATTTAATCCATCCGCATTGGTTGGCAGTGTGCAGCTGATGCTGGTCCAGGGCAAAATAGAAATGAGGGGCAGGTGAGATGGGCAGGCAGGTGCTGATGGACAACTACAGGAGTGATAAAGCAGTGGGTGACAAAAAGGGTCAGAGAGGAAGTAGTTTGGGTGGTGATAGTTATCTGCCTGACTCTTAAGCAAAGCATTGACTGGGAAATCTTATATTTAGTCCTCCAATAGATGGGGTGCCTTGTGGGTCTAAGTTTAACAGTGCAGGTTCCCCCTGCTCTTCCCTGGGAGTAGCAGCAGGGCAGCTGGGTCAGGAGGGGTGCATGGGGCTGGGCAAGGTGGTCCTAGAAGCCTGGCTGTGATCCTTCAAGAACCCAGAGCCTGCCTGTGGGATTAATTGCTTTTAAACCCTGCTGGGATAGTTGAGGGCTGTGTGGTGTTGCTTCCCTGCATCATGTGTGGGGTGAGGATTTGGGAGAGAAAGCTGGGTGATAGCTTCTAGCCCCTTCCTAGAACATCAGAAGCCATCCCCCTACTTTTGGCACCCTAACTCCAGGTGCCTGAGCACCTCTTATCCACTGGAAGCTGGAGCTGACACTGGAGAGGTGAGCTGGGATAAGATGACAGGCTAAATGCTGGGAGTGGAGCGGAGGTGCCATGTCCCAAGGAACATTTCTGGAACTTTTGAGTTCTCTCCTTTTTAAAAGAATGTAATTAACTAAATTAACTTCCATAAACCTGGGATAAAACCATCCTCAGTAATTGCAGGCGTTGTTGTTGTTGTTCTTTTAAAAATAGCCTGAATGTTGCTACTGTGTTCCCACACCAACTAACCCCTGCTAAAATCACAGCAATGTCTGCCTTACGTCTTTTCTAGGCTGAAGGAATATTTGAGGTTTCAAAGATACTTCTTTCTTTAAAAAAGACTTCAGGGGGGAAGCCTACTGTAAATATGGCTCTGACCTTATCTGAATTGTTCCTATGCACTGAATCTAGCCAAGGACTCTTGAATAAAACAGACTTGAAGTTTCTAGGCCAAGTAGGTTTTGAGATATGGCTCCACGATAAATTGTTAGAGGAATATTTCAAAGACTGAATTGCACCTCATTTTTCAAAGTCCCATATCTCACAAACACCTTGTCTGATCTGCCACAAATTTTGTCAATAAATTATCCTCTGGCTACTGATCGCATATGCAAAGTCTTCAGCAAAAAAAGCCACACAAATCTTTGCTCCCCCCTTAAACACCTCCCTCCTGGCAATATGTCCCTTCCTCCCCTCATTGCTGGCAGAGCTTTTTTGGGGATATAAAAATAATCCTGTATAACCCCAACTGCCTAGTGCTGAATGGAAAGTCACGGAGCGTCTGGTCCCAGCTATCTTCCTAAAAGCTGTGGTTTGCAAGAACGTAATTGTAGAAAGCTACTCCCAGTTTTGAGTGGGGCTGTGTGGTTGCTCTGAATTGTTCCATCCAGCAGCTGGTGGAGCAGTTTGGGGCTGTAACTCCTCCTCCTCCAGCCTGGCCCCCTGTGGGCCAGGAGATGCTCTGGGCTGGCTGTGACGTGGCCTGGGCTCACAGCCTTGTCCCCTGCGTGTTGCAGGGCTGCTGTGTGGGGCCAGCCCTGCGGGCATGAGACCTGGCAGGTTTCAGGGCTGATGGTGGTCACATTCATGACTCCCTGGCTCTGCTTTCCCAAAGACTGAAAATGTAGAGGTTTTTACCACCTGTGTAAGACCTGCAAAAGGAGAGAAAGATGTGACCTTAACTTACAGAGCATGGTGTTTTCAAGTACTTTGTTATGGGGAAGTTGGATAAAATAGGAAGTTAGAAACTAAGTATTTGTAGACTCTTATTTTGTGGGTGAGCTCCAGGTGAAAGGAGAACAAAGGCAAGGGGATGTGAAGCATGAGCTATGAACAAGACTAGGATGGCAGTGGTGAGTGCGGAATTGATATTGCTTACTGTCATCCTTCATGTTTTTTATTCACAATAATTAATCTCAAGGTGTTATGTCTCCGTGGCAAACGCGTTCTTAGCAGAAAGAACTTGATAAATCTGTACTTCTATTTCAGAGACGTGGTCAAGCATTTTTTTTCTCTTTCTCCCCGTTTGTACATTTGCAAAGATAAGCTTCTTCTTTTCTGGTATCTGCATTCAGATCCGTGTGGGAGTTATTACCTGAACTGGCAGGGCTAACCAGCAGCAATGGGACAACGACCCTGTCCTTGTAGTAATTTGTTCTGTGACATTATGAGGATTCAAATGAAATAATCATTTAATAACAGAATAAAGAAGTTTTGCATGTCTATACTTACGATGATTATTTCCTTTCCACTGGTCTTTTCTGGTCTTCCTTTGGTTCCTTAGGAAATAGAGTAACAAGATTTTTTTAAATTTTTTTATTTTTTTTACCCCACAGTCAGATCCTGTCTGAAGCCACTCAGATTTTCGGTGGTAAAGACTTCCATTAAAGTTCATAAAATTAATAATTTCCCAGGCTTAGCTATCTCATACTAAGATCCACACTCTTCTGTGAGAGACTTGTAATAAGTTTACAAAAATAAAAAAATCTGAGGAAATATCTGCTGCTACACTGAAACATGAAGGAGAAATTTGGGACGCTCTCATTAAGACCTTGCTAGTCCCTTAAAGTACTTCAAAGCCAACACTTCTAAAGAAGCAAAAGGTAACTGACTTGGGGAAGTGTTTTCGTCTCCATTCAATTATTTCAGCAATCAGGTTAGTGCTGAAATTGAAATCCTATCCATCCTCATTACAAAGATATAATCAATAGCTGTAATTTAGAAGTTGGGGAATATCTTCATTAATATCCTCTCTTAAGTGCGGTTTAAATGTCATTGTATTATTAGCCAGTGATTATTTTCTCATAGCATGAGACTTAGGGTAAATATTTCAGAAATATTATATGCCCTGCTAAACCACACCAAGCTGATAATCATCTAAGAAATTGGTGAATAAACAAGCACTTGAAACGCTTTTTCACCAGACAATGTTTTTCTTCAAGCTGCTGCCTGACAGCAGCGCTTCTTAGCAGAGCCATCACTCTGCATTTATTTATTTAAAATAATGCTTTTTTTTTTTTTTTTTTTTTATTAAAGTGCATTTCCCCAGCTGCCAGCTCAGGCTGCTGGGGAGGAAAGGTGGTGCTCCAGGGCTGGGGCACAAACTGTATGCTGGAGGTGGGCACCTGGGAGTGGACCCAGGGTCTGAAACCCCGTTGGTGAGCAGAGTGCAGCAAGCTGGGCTGAAATATGTGTATGTGGGGGTCTCTTCTGTCCTGTTGACATGTGATTGCTGCAGGACTCTCAGTGAAGACCCCAGGGTGAGGAGGAGCGTGAGCAGCAGGATGTGAACTCCCATGAAGACTTTGGCACTGCCAATACAAGCTGGGGGCTGACACAGGAGCACTTTCTCTGCACTGTGTGTGCCAACCAGGCACTAAACGGAGTGGGAACAGAAAAGCTGGTTTCCAGTTTACCAGAAGGTTTGTTGGCCACAGAACAGAGAGGTCAGGACTGATGTGGAGGTGTTGTGATGGTCACAGCATGCCCACAGGTGGAGGCTGTGGGGTGGCAGAGGGTATGGTGGTGTTGGCAGAGTGTATCTGGAAGCTTTTGTGGGAAACTGTCCTACACGGGTTGTGAGATCCAAGAAACCCCCTGATGAAGTGAGCATACAGTCGTCTGGGAAAGCTCTGCATGAGCGGGACTCTGGCCATGGCCCAATCCATCGCGAGCCATGGCTCTTATCTCTGTAATGCATGGACGAATTGGCTTTAGAAAAGGCTCTAGGTGATATATTTCCTCCCTTCCACTGCATATGTAGTGGGAGTTGCTGTGAGCAAGCTTTGTGTTTGTTGGTGGCATGTGAAACAGTATCTTCCAGGAAACTTCAGAAATATTTTATGAAGTGTAGTAATAAAAATATCCATGTGGTGCGGCCCATGCAAAGTAACATGCTTGGCTGGAAGCGCTGTGTACAGTTCCTATAGTGCACTATTCTTCCACAAAAAGGAAAAAAAGAGAACTTGTGCAGATGGATTTCATCTCCTTGGTATTTGGATATCCATTACACAACCCCAAATAGCTTTTGTAGGGCAGTTGTAGAAGTAGTTATCCATGGCAAACCTTTCCAGCTCGGATCATGGGCTGGGCTGTGCTCAGGTTGGCCCTGCCAGGATGGGTCCATCCCCGTGCTTCTGGCTCTGCCCCCAGGGAGCCCAGCAGCCGTGCTGAAGCCGTTAGCTCGGGGCTGCAGCTCCGCAGGCGGTGCTGGTGGGACAAGGGGCTGGGGGCTGTGGGAAACCACCCGTGGAGAGACGGGGAAATCCTGCAGGAGAGGCTTTGCTTCTGCTTCCTGGGAGAACTCTACCAGCGGGATGATCTGGGCCACCTTTGAAGAGAAAAGAGAGATTAGAGTGCTCTCTTGGAGTATCTGAGCAATATTAATTAGGTGATATGGGTTCTGCTTTGTAGCTCCTGCTGCTGTGCTCTGTAAGGGGCTTGCTACACGCTTGATAAGAACCCTCATGTGGCGGCCAGCACCTTGCCTTTCTGCTGGTCTTCTGAGGCCTTGGACAGAAGGCTTGACAGGATGTGAGCAAGGCTGGTATGCCCAAGGGACAAGCTGGGCAGCTCTTCAGGGCTGGCATTTCTAGATCTGATGAGGGATCGTATGCAAATAAGCCCTAATGAATGTTAATTACTGGGAGAGTTGCATACTTTGCTTGATTCTTTTTTGGCAGCTTGTGCAACTGTGTTTTTGTATACCTGGCACTTGAAGCAGTTGATTTCAAAAAATAATAATCCTCTGTAATTACAATTGCTTTATTAAAGGTTGCAGGGCTTATATGATCTCTGTAGTGAATCTTTATGAATTCCTCTATCTAGACAGTCATCTCCTGGCTCTTTCTCCAAAACAGCACTGCATGGGTTGCTCACTGCTCATACGAGCTTACTTGCCAGCCTTTCCCAGCCTGGATCCCATGATTTCTAGTAAGATGATGAGGACTGTATTTTGCCCAGGATGTCTGTGGGTGGAAGCCCAACTGTCAGTTTGACTTAGTCCTGATGATTGACTTTGGAGGTAGCTTCCTGCTGCACAGCACAGCTTCCCACGGTTTGGCTAACAGTTTGGGTATCAGCTGAGGGCTGCAGAGCAGAGGTTTGCCCTAGTCCTGGGTGCAGAGTGCCCCTGAGAAGTCCTACGGTTAGAGAGTCCTTTTGTGCCCAGCCTCAACAGGGCTGGAAGGCTCACAGTGCCCTTCGCCTACTACCTGGGGGCAACTGCTTTATACCCACACCCTAGCCATGCAGATGGGCAGTGGGGAAGAACTGCTCTGAGCATCTGAGACAGGAGTAGGTCACCCTGTGCCCAGCCTCTTGGTGCAACCCATTCTAAAAAATCCCTGTCCCCAGACTCTCCTGCGTGATGCTCCCCTCTTGTTTTTTTCCCGTTTAGCTCCATGACCTGCAAGATCCCCAGCTGTGCTTGCTTGACCTGGCTCACTTCTGTGGGCTGCTTGAGCAGTTATATTTTTTCATAACTCAGCTGGAGGAACATCTGACTCTGCTAAGCTCTGCA